CTTACAGCATAGTGTTCCCAATGACCAGAAACTTGCCACAACTTCACGTTATAGATGTTTGGAGAAACCACTTCTTGAAACCCACGCTTCCTGTACTCTGATCTTATGAAATTAACAAGGGTGTTATAAATGTGAGCTCCTCGAGGAAGGAAGAAACAAGACCCTGGCGACAGTTCGTTAAAAAAGAATAACTCTTGTTCCTATAACAATTTTTATTACAATTTGCATAAAGATAAGCCTGTCAAAAACTCTATTACTTTTCCCACTTTGCGATGATCTCGTTTTGCAGCTTCTTCCTGAAACTTTTCCCATTCCTTAAGCAACTTAGGATCAGGAAAACTTATACCATAAATTCGTTGCAATGTTTCAGCATCAGCTTTTCCTTCCCAATAAGTTGAGGAGTTCTAAAATTAATTAAATGATAGAAAAAACTTTTTATGATTGCAGACAAAACAAAAACCTTAGTAATTTTTAATGCCTTGATCTTGCCAGTGTGTCTGACGTGAGGTCCCCGACATAAATCAATGAGGGGGCCGCAACGATATGCGGTAGTTGTGGGGGTATTAACCTTTTCTTGTAATATACGAACTTTGAATGGATTATATTTAAACATTTCTAGTAAATCTTCTTTCTTCAATTCCAGCCTTTCAAATGGTTGTTTTTCTTTTGTAATAGTTTTGATTAGATTTTCCATGTAAGGAAAGTCCAAGTTGGATACCTAAACACAAGTTTATTTTATAAAACAAAGATCTTCAACTAAATTGCATGAAAACAACAAATTATATTCATATCTTTTAATATAATTACTCCTTTATCATCCAAAAACATATCATAGTAGAATCCAGATTCTATAGGAGGACCATAGCATAAACAACCACCATACATCCTTTCCATGGCTTCTCCTAAAATATGAGCAGAAGAATGCCAAAATACTGCTTGTGCCTCTGGGTCATCAAATTTCAACAACTCCACCTTGCAGTCTTCTTCTAAAGGTCGATCCAAGTCCCAAAGTACACCATTGACTTTGGATATAACTGCATTATCAGCCAAACCTTGACTAATAAAAAAATTACTTTATTAAATAAGGTAAAATTTCATTTTTTATTGTTAACCTTATGCCTTTAGCAATGTCATAAGCTGTTGTTTTCCATGAAGTGCCATCCACAACTTTGCCATCTGGCAAGGTAACTTTGATAGATGTTTGAGGTTTTGAAGCAAGTTCAGCTTCATACTGATTTTTTAGTTTATCCCACAGTGTTAGGCGATCTTGAATGAATGAAGGCCATGGTTGAAGTTCCTTTATGTTGGTTTTATTGTCACCAGCACCTTTCTTGTTTTTTGCTTTAACCTTTGTATTCTAAATTACAAAAAAATATTGTACTTTTTAAGACATTTATGAATATATTTAATAACAAATATACACATAAAATAAACGAGCCAGTTGTAATGCAATTTAGAACGGGCTTACATCAGAAAAAAATGTAACTGTTACAAACCAAGTTATAAAAAGCCTGTTGAAAAATTGGTATAAATGTTCTATTCTGAAATAATGTTCTCAACATCGTAGAACTTATTATATAAAAAATTTCATGCCTTTTCGTCCTGAATTAAGTCCATTTTCCGGATTCACTTAAATTATATTGACCACAAAAACACCGCAGAGCACGTTAAATTACAGGTTATGTTTGCTAAATGTCAAAGTTGGTCAAAGTGAAAACCACTCCATCATGTGGGATGTGAATCCATGCTGGCAAGTTAATTAATAAATAATACTGAAAAATTACACCTTATCTATTGATTAATTAAAAACTTTGTTATGTAATTAATATAAATATCTTCTTAATATTTAATTATGGTAGTATATCGCCATCTACTGAGATTTTCTGTAACCGAAGTATTCCGTGTTACACCGGGCCTTACCGATAAGGTATCTACCTCTCCAGCGATTAAGTTTTTTTTATCCTGTTTCAGTAGAAACAGACACGTAAAAATTTCTTTTCAAATATATTTTTGCACCATTTAATTGTATCAAACAAATTAGATTATTACAATAATAATTATAACTTAATAAAAAAGCATTTTTATTTCTTAANTGAATGTACCCTTCGTTTTATACATTAAAATAAAAAGTTACATCTATTTTTCATTCAAACTTTTCCGTTTACAATTCCGTAAAATTCGAAATTACCTAACAATTATTTCTCACAAATATTGTTACCCTTATTTTCAAAACCGTTATATGCATTTGATTTTCTTGTATCCCTTCGCCCTTTTAAATACTGTTGTATTTCTTCTAACGTCTTCCCTTTTGTTTCTGGCATCCAAAAGTGCCCGTATACCACTCCAAACATCGTACAGGTCCCGAAAAGAAAAAATGGCGAACTTATGCCAAAATTCTTTTGTAAAAGATGAAACACTTGTGTCAATATACTTATCAAAATGGCAAAATGTATGGAACAGATACTTAAGGCTTTTGCTTTGGCTCTAGTGGAAAACATTTCTCCCACCATCAAATTTGGGGCAACCAAAATTCCAAAACTCATGCAAATAACGTACAAGATCATACCCACCAACGGCATCCAGTTATAACTAGTTAAATCGTAACCGAGGTTGCTAAGATAATAATAAACGCCCAAAAGGAAAAGAATTATTGCAGTAGTAAAGCTAGATGTCATAAACAACGGTCTCCTTCCAAATTTATCGACCACTGCAGCTGCCAAAGAGGCAACAGTTACTTGTATCAAGAAGTAAATTATAGAACAAATTTCTGGAGAAAGGAAATCACCACCTTCTTTGAAGATTATTTGGGCATAGAAACCAATCGGTGTTATACCAGATAGCTGTTGAAAAGTCCTTAGACAAAACATGACGACCAAACCCCTTCTATTACTATCAATCATGAACAGGTCTTTAATACTGTTACTTTCGGACATTTGTCTCTTAACATCTCCTTCTAGTTGGTTCAGTTCTTTCTCCACATTATCCATTTTTCTCAATGCTTTCAGGGATTGTTCGGCCTCTTTTACTCGATTTTTCATCAGGAAAAAATAAGGAGATTCAGGCATCCAAGAGAATGTCAAGAGAAAAAGTATAGGGGAAATACAGGCTATATACGCCGAAACGGTTATGGATGTATAGGAACCATAAGCTGTCATTACGACCTGGCCCAAAAGAATTGAAACTGACAAAGAAGATCCCAGCACTCCTCTTACTTTCGGTTCACAAATTTCACCCAAATACATGGGGTACACAGCATACAGTCCTCCCTCGAAGGCCGAACCGATCAATCTGGCTATATAAAGGACCATGACCGTCTTTGCATTTGCTATTAAGATCCAGGCAATTAATTGAGGAATGGCCAAAAGGAGAAGGCATTTTTTCCTTCCAATAATATCAGCAAGGGATGCAAATACGGGAGCCGCAACGATGTACGACAAAGGACCGATAAGAAGAATATACGAAGTCTCATCGCTTGTAACATGTGAAGGAAATTCGTCCGAAAGAATTTTTGGAATTGCTTGAGGGGGCCAGCCGAACTGTAATCCCATGCCAAAGGCATTTATGGCACCTAAAAAAATAAAATGTTATTAACAATAGCAAGCCTCTCTAAAATAATTTCATTCTCATTTTACTACAGAATCCTAATGAATATCGTTAGTTTTAGTTCTTATTTATATTCGAAAATTATGGACTAAAATAATCAATTTTTGAAATAGTTAATCTTATAGTAATCAACACGGTTCTGAGCCCTCCGAGCACACTTATTTTTTTTGTTTATTAATTAATGTTAGACACTTACATGTAACAGCAGCTAGAACTTGGGGCCATTGCTTGCTCTTCAAATCTGCAGACATGATTTAAACTTCGTCAGCGTTTCTTTAAAAGTACTTTCCAAATGTGAACGTCTGTAGGTTGTCCTAAACCTATAACTAACTTAATATTGAATGTACCCTTCGTTTTATACCTCATTCTCATCAGAATGTGTGTATCTTGTCATAAAATAGTATCATATGTTTCTGACAAAACCGTATTAGTTAAAAGCGTAAGATAATTGCAACAATAAATATATTTACTTAACGTAATTTACTGTTAATTACACCTGCTCCTCGTCTTATCATTCCTTAAAAAAATTAATGAAAAAGACTTTTATTTATTTGTCGTTTATTTGAATAAAACTTAAAAATGTAGCAGTAAATTATTGTTTGCTTATGCGTTCGGACACATCACATTTCGGGTTTTTCCATTTTTTTACATAAACGAATGTTTTTTAAAGGCTGCCTCAAGAGACAATATCAGGCGAAAACAATGAAGTAAGAGACTTCAAGAGCTATTCCAAACAGTTCAATGTATGTTCTGAAATTTACGATAGCTTCGGATTTCCCTTGTTTGATAAAAATTCTTTAACTAAATACAAGTGTTTCAAATAGCACCTGAGATTCGTTACGTAATATAGGAGTACTTTGGAAATTTTACAGCTATACAAGGAATTTTTAAAAAAATCATAATAATTTCTTATGAAATGATCAATCCGTTTGAAACATCACCATTTGATTGATTAAAATTGGTACATTGGTACAGCAAGTCTTTGTTTTTTTTTTATTATAATACAACTACTTGTTTAATGCATCTGAAAAATAAATGTATTAAACTTTTTTAACATGTATTTCTTTGTAAGTTTTCAAAAAGAGCAGTTGTATTTATTTTAAATGTAATATGATGTATGATCGAAATTTTTACTCAGAATAAGTGTCCGCCACGGATAAAATAGTACAGGGACTAAGAAGTCGGGGGAGTCCCAGCTTTTTAATTTTAATTTCCAAAAAATGTATCAAGACAAAAGTTTATATAAAAAATTTTTACAGACAGGGAAATATTTAAAATATCTGAGGTTTATATTTTCAAAAAAGAAAATACTAGTTACAGATAGAAAGTATTTTGCCGTTGTTTGGAGTTTTTAAATGTATAATAACAAATTCATAATATCGTTGTACATATTCGTTTTGATACCGGAAAATATTTTATGTTTTGTCCAACTTGATTTTCAAGACCCAATTATTTTTGTTGTGGATAAATTATCAATCTGGTTAATTGTTTGAAATACGTTAAATAAAAGTACACCAGATTAGCCCAGTGAGAAGTAATAAAATTTTTTTTAATGATCAATTATTAGATTCAGTAAAAGTTGTTTAAGTTTCACTATACGAAATTACTCAGCCTATCGAAAATACACAACCAATGATGGGCAATATAAATACCCATAGTAGTAGCAAGTGGAGGGAGTGAAACATGCAAGTCTTTTTTTTATTTTAAACCAGAGCAACGTTCCCAACCAAAATCGAACTTTCAAGAAATGATAATAAATAAAATGGTTGCATTTTTAATGGTAGTAATTTAGTATTATAGAATTTATATAATTATACACATAGGATCTGGATAGGTATAGTTAGGTACATATATAAAGTCTACGTAAAGTATGATTTGAGATAATGGCGAATTTCAAAATGAATCTTTAGGAAAAATTTTGGTTGATGACCATGTTCGGTTATTGTATACAACCCACAATCAATTTTATATAACTGAAATGTTTGAATAAGTGACACTCGTTGAATTTGCTCTTGCTCATATTTATAATAATTTATTATGAGTGTAACTGATAAGGTACATGTGTAGTACACATGTATATCACCTCCTGCGAACTGTTAAAGACAATATACATTTAAGAAATAAGATAAAAAAATTATCGCATTTCGTATTAATATAAAGACACATTTTTGGTTTACTTTTCATTCAACGTCAGTAAACTCTTCCTTATCTGTATTTAAATAGTCATCAGATTTTTCAGTTATTGTATTACGCAGATACTGTATGTATTGCTCCCTGATATATTAAAAACTGTTTAAAGAAAAATAATTAGTTTGCCAACAGAAAACTGCATGAAACTTATTTTAAATTAATTGTTAATCAAATGGACACAGCATTTCCTATTAATTAAAGTCACATTCTTATAAATAGTATATCACTTTTAACATGTTCTGTGATCAAAAAGTGGTACTTTTGATTAAGGTAGCTAATTATTTGTTTTGGTGTGACCAAGTTTAATTAAAATTTTCAAAGGTATGTGGATTAAAATATCTTATGTTTTAATTCTACCATTCAATTATTAAAATAAAATAAAATTGAAGAAAAAAGTTGGTTTTCTTTATATTACAAAATAAAACTTTGATTGTGATTAGTTACTCAAATGTTAAAATTATATGTTCAACTTTTCAAAACAAATTGCTTAAATTTAAATTAATATATGCTGAAAATTGCATAGTTTCCAATAATATGGTACATTATAAACATACCACCTATGTTAAGAAATTATTTAACACCTACCGTTCCCTTGCTTCAACATGGATGCAGTTATTAAAGTTTTTAAAATAGTAGTAGCGTCCCATGATGCTGTTTCCACAAAATGTGAGTAACATTTTTACAGTAGCACTTTTGTTAAATGATAGGAATATTAACCCAGTACCTTCTTGCCAGCCTGAAAACTATTTCTTAAGTTTACGAACGCTTGAAAAGTTGTACTAATCATATTTATATACCTATTACTGTATGCTTTTGAGTTTTCTGTACAATATATGACTGATAATGATGTTGAGATGAATGTAGATATATCAAATTGAAGAGTCCTTATTAGTAGAGTTGTAACATTTCTCAGCAACACAGTTGCTTGAAGAGTGGACCGTATTTTTGGAAAGTTCTTATAATGTGTTTCAATCATTGTAACTGAAATACTAATAACAAATATTTTATAAATAATTTAATACAATGCTACATTAATTTATTTAGTAACTTGGTTTTGGCTGATGAATGAAATACACCTTAAAACGGCTCATGTGAGAATACTTGTTATTAAAATTATATTTTAGCATAAGAATTATTGACAAATCTTACCTGTTTTAAAAGAAAACATTGAAATTATTTTCATAAAATACGAACCTGTAAACTGTTTAAAGATAACCTATAAAATTTTTAAAACACCCATATACCAGCGTTGCCAAATTCACTCAATTTAAAATAAAAATTTTTAAAACAAAACAGCCGATTTTTGAAAAATCTTGTAAAACTTTTTGTGTATATCATATCATATAAATTGTAATTATAGGATTATGTAATTCTTAGGTGTACCACATTCATCCAATAATCAACCGCAGTATAAAATTGATATTATTGACAATTTTGTATTACAAGCTTGCGATAAAAAGAGTGGCCTTTTTGAATTTAAAAAAGTTTTGAAGAAATTTAAGTATGTGCCTAACAACTTTTTTAGTATTTCGCTAAAGAAGAGCTAAAAGTTTTAGATTATTTTTTTTAATGTTAATGCTGAGCGATGTAAGGAGACACAAAATTAAGAGCATTAAATTATTGTAAGAAACAAAAAACAATACCGGGGTAAATTAATAAAACATTACTTTGAAATTAAATTTGTTTATATTTTTATTGACATTGTAAACCCGCAATTTGTTTAATTACATTGAACATACGTATTTTGTTAACGCTTGATTATTTAAAGGAAACATAAAAACATTCAGCTGACAAAAAACTTAAATATATAACAAAAGTGCATTCATCAATGGTATATGTATATTCATAACGCCAGCTAATTTAAATAATAACTGTGTAAACTAATATGTCTTTTACTAGCAACTCTGCTAAAAACAACACTTTATTACATAACTAATTATTTAATGTCAAATGCAATATAAGTACAACACCTAAACAATTTATAAAATACGTAATTAATTCCGAAAAAATCATTTTACTCCCTAGCAGTTTTTTTTCTATATTAATAATTATTGTTATGTTGTATTAATTTTAATAAAATGTGTTTATGTAGCGTATGTAATCATTATAGAAATATTTGTTTAATTTAAACATATAAAACGAGTGTAGTCGTAAATAAGAACTCCAACAAAACAATTAAATTCTTTAGATACTTTAAATACAAAGTTAGAACTGAACTATTAACTTAATGAAGAAAAAATCATCCTATCAAAATTCATAGGAACTTTTCAACAACCGGATTCTTTTTTCATTTTCTAATTAGTGAAACAATTATTTAGATTAATTTAAGTAACTTACATTTTCATTCAGAATCAGATATTTTACAACTGTGCAACGAATGGACGACTTTGTTCAATCGTTTTTCAAGTCTTCGTTGTTTTCTTAATCTTTTCTCTTTATATCTGTTAACATCCTTGTTTTCATAATGACTTTTCTTCACATCTGCTTCATCCAAGTCATCTACTTCAAATTTTAATTTACGTTTACTACATTTTTGGCATCTACCGTTTACTTCTTGTATTTCCCCGTCCACGTCAACATCGCTCATCTTATCTATTACACCGTCTAAGAACATCGCAGTCTTTGTATTTCTTTCGTTTTGTTTTTTGAGTTTTCTTCTTAAAATTTTACGTTCTTTTTTTGAAAGTTCCTTGTATACAGAAACATCAAATTCGTCGGAGTTGGAATTGCTGTCGCTATTTTTTAAGTCCAGTTCTGGACAGTCAATACCTTCATCCTGGTCATTTAATTTATCTGAACGAGTAGGGTCATTTTCAGCTTGAAGTTTAACAGTGACAGCAATTGTAGATGTACTACACAATGGACTTCCATCGCTTGTTCCACTTTGGGGACTGGAATCAACTTCTTGTGTTTGATATTCAGTAACAGTTTCATTAAAAGAAACTCGTTTTCTTTGTTTCTTACGACTTTTATTTAATTTGGCTGGAGAAGAAACAAGGTAGTTCTTTTCTTTGTATGTGCTTTCAACACTGTTTGTTGAAACTGAATCGTCAATTCTATTTTTATCTTTCTGATCATTAATTTTTTTAAGTTTCTTTTCTAAATTCTTTCTACTTCCAGTATCATCATTATCAGTCAGTGAAATCTTTTTTAATTTCTTAAGAAGCATTTTCTCTTGTTTTTCTATTCGGGAAAGTTTTCCACTTTGTTTTATGCCATGTCTTGCACCTCTAAAAAAAATTTATGATTTCATACAGCAAAACTGAAGATATCCATAGTAGTGCAATATAAATTACTCCCAAAACGTTAATGAATGGGATAAAAAAAGTGAAAAATTATTAAGTACTTGTGTGCAGTTCTTCCTTCACATGCAGCCAATAGTTCTTCATCAGTTAATGCTCTTACATTAACTTTATTTGGTTCATCTAAATTGTAGGAGCCTGCTTCACTAACAAGTCCTTTATCAGTAAGTGTAGATCTTTTTATGAAAGAACCATATTCTAAATTTATGTTTTGACATTTTAAACCTTTCATATAGCCTTTTGTTGAAATATCTATCGACTCTTTGGATGTTAACTTAAGTTGAACATTATTGTCAGAATTAACGGATACCTGGAATAATTCGCAATTTACTACTTTATTTATTCTTATCTTGTAGACATACATCTATATTGGAGGCTGCCCGATTATAGATGTTGTTCCACCAATCGTTTTTAAATTCATCAGCGGAATTGTGACCTACGCCCGAGGTATCGAACTTTAATTTAGGCTTTATGGCTTTGGATATTCCTGTTTCATTTTTTCCAAGTCCTTGCCCTAATAGTAAACTGAGCAGTCAAACAACAGAAAATCTTAATAAATCAAATTATAATACCTTCTCTCCAACCATATTTTTCTAATTGCTTTTTGGCAAAATCCATTTAAAATACGTTAATTCCTGTTATATCGTTGACAATTTCTATTTTATATTTCATTTATTTTTTATTAATTATAGCAAATATATATGTGTATATATTTATAATAATAAGTAGTAATACAACAAACTTTAAGGTTATAGTTATGTCAGCTCGTGTCTGATTGTAACTGACTTGAATCTGATTTGTAATTTACTAGTAATCTACTCATTTACTGAACTGAAATTCAATGTAGTTGTCCTCCTAGTTCTGTTTAAAAGGAGTATTCAGAGAAGTTTATATTTATTCATGAAGTTATTTACCATTTATCCTTAATTTTTACTAAACCATAATATATATAAAGTTATTAATTTTCATGCATGGTATACGCTCTGATAAATGAATGCAACTATTATTTCAGTTTTCGATAATAAAAAATATGTTTTGATTACTTCACGAGTTAGGTTATCTATGGTAATAACCCAACTACCTTGTAACCTCAATTAATGTTTTCAATTTTTAATTACTATAAAATAAAAATATAATATACAATATATCGGCTACCGTTTACGTAATAATTTTTAATAAATCTACAAACCTAATAATTATTTAAATTTCAACTGTTAGTTGTTTTGGGTAAAGTTATAGTGGGATCTCACCAACGGTAGAAAATGATGCAACAGTTATTTGATTACATTTACAATACAAAATAATCTTTTTCCAGGTATGTGATTGTTGAGTATATTTTCGTTACTTTCTTAATGGTAACGATTAATAAATGCAATAATAGAGACCAATATTAAATCAATACTTCCTGACTTGCTCAAATCATTTTATTCTTTTAAGCATTCAATATTGAAAAACTTCATTTTGTCTATACTACATTTAATTTTTAATAACTGTGAACTTAGGAAAACAAACCGGAATGTGTTCTCCAAACCATGTCTTATACAGAACTAGAACAAGGCTATCAAGGGTTGAGAAGTAGTGTCAGACCAGCTCAATTTTATGTAGGAGGAGTAAGTTTTTTCATACATGTCCAAATATGTTTGTATTTTAGTTATATTAACCAATATTCAAATTACACCTCTCAAATTACTATACTATCTTTAGCGATAAATCTCTTAATAAAAAACATGCCTTCACCTCCTCATAGTCCGGGAGAAAATCAAGGTATTCCTGCTGTGGTAATTGAAGATGTTGATAGATATATTTCTTCTGGTCATTGGTCATTGCAAATGGTATTTCAGTTTCCTTGCATGCTTATTATTCTGCCATGTAATTAACAAGTAATTTACTTTAATCCCATTAATTACTTGGCTATTTCTAATATGTATTGTCTAATTATAAATGTAGGATATGATTGGCATACTTTAAATGGACTTATGGCTGATAATTTAAATAAAAAGATCAAAGCTGGATAAGCATGAATGATTTGTCTCAACAGCTATAGACATCTTATTTTGTGAGCACTGTATTGCAGTTAGAACTTATTCATTATTTATTTCCGAAATTATTAATTTTCTACTTGTCCCTAAACTTCATGCTTCAGGGGTAGTTTGCTTATGCTTATTGGACTGTACAACCTTTATTAAGACAAAATTAATTTAGCTAAAACTGTTAATAACGGCGACATAAAAATATATTCATATATTTCATTTTCTACCATTATCCAGAATAATATCAGACAATATATGTCCATATAATACAGTCGGTATCTTTAATTGTATGTTAAAAAACTTGAAGCTAATTGTCATATATGACAATATCGCCTGTTAATTTTTTTTTTAATGTAGCGTTTTCGTATAATCAATTTGATGGTTCCTAGGTGTAACATAATTATTTAAAATAAATGATAAAATTTTAACGAATAAGGTTTAAAATGGAGTGGCCGTGGTTAAAGAATTGGTGGAGGCTCAAAAAATGGCGCAAGAACAAAGGGCGAAATGGAAACGAAAACTATTTAGAATGTTTTTGTGATGATTGTTTTTCTGTAGGTGTCCCCACTATAACTACAAATTATATTTATTTTATTATAGAAAAGTATTTTTTAATTGCATACCTTTGGCAGGCTTTAAAAGTGTATTGCGCACTTTCTTTATATTCTAAAACGTTTAGTAAACCTATCTGTATCTTTAGAAAATGCTTTAATAAATTTTGAAAAATGAATGCGAATATTATCAAATTAAATTAAATTCCTATCTAGTTTATTTTTCTTATCAGTAGATTTCGCAATATTTAAAGTTATTGTACTTGATCCGAAGTTTGCCTGCTAACTTATTTAATGTAACTGACGTGTTTGTTTTTTAATCTTTTCGAAAAACAGTCGTAAAGAAATATCCGAATATACACACACTATCCAATAAACTTATACAAGGGACAATTTCATTAAGTATTCTATCAGTTGCTTTTATCATATTCTTAGTCAGTGCAAACGTGCTCGACTTAAAATTTCACTAAATAATGCCTACATTTAAAGAAAAAGAAACAGAAACTGATACTTTTTACTTTTGGGTAGATTTTAAAGGATATATTTAATACTGTTTATCGTTTTGTAATTTGTTACACCTTTATTAATAAAAGAAAGAAGCTTTCTAATACAATCTGTGCTATTATTATATATGTATATAACTTTTAATTTAAACATAATTTAAATTAAAATTACATGAATTTATTTTAATGAGGTTTTCTTTTTTTTACAATTACAGGGAGATTTGGAATTATGCGATTCCAGCGACACCAGTATTTCTCACCACGACATGGAAGAAAATGGGAAGCAAGTTGTCGTGGGGGTGTGTGCAATGGCAAAAAAATCTCAGAGCAAACCCATGAAAGAGATTCTCACACGTCTACAGGAATTTGAGTATATAAAAGTCACGGTTTTTCCCGAAGACGTTATCTTAGAGGTGAATATTTTTTTAAAAAGTTATAATTATGGAAAGACATGACTAAAAACATTCAAAATTTCGCATAAAAACATTAAGAAACCCAAAACGCGTTTCAGCATTTAATGTGTCATCCTACACTAAAAGACTAAAGAAAGAAAGTGTTTTCATGTGGAATTTTAGGATATACTATTTTATTTACTAATACTTGCTTTATCGCTCAATATTCTTAAATATATTCATCATTTCTTCTGTTACTTAAGCGAACAAGAAATGCAAATTTATTATAAGTTTTTACTTTGTAAAATAAAATACCAAATACTTGTTGGTAACAGTATTCATAGACTCACTGTAACCGGAAACAATAATGCAATACGGTTAATAGATAAGGAAAGTAATTGTAAACAGGCATTAAATTGCCTACAAATATATACATTCATACGATCAAATATTAGGTCTAATTACAGTCAACAAATATTTATTGCGAAAACGTTATTTTCATTGTTTATGGCATAACTGTAAAACAATATGTATTTGGTTTATGTTAGTGCTGCCTTTTTTGTAGAAAACTGTCGACGAATGGCCTGTATGTGATTGTTTGATATCGTTCCATTCTAAAGGGTTTCCCCTAGACAAGGCCATACAATATGCTTCATTACACAACCCGTATGTTATCAACAATTTACATATGCAATACGATATTCAAGATAGAAGAAAAGTATATGCAATACTAGAGTCGGAGGGGATCGAAATTCCAAGATATGCAGTGTTAGATAGGGATAGTCCTAATCCAAAAGGTAACTATATCAGGGAATGCAAATTAACATTACAGAAATATTATATTCTTAACCTGTTACCAATTCGTCTGATATCATATATAATACAATTAGAACTTCTTTAGAAGTTTATTTCTAATCAATAACAAGTAACGATCCACCTATAAGAAGATGTAACGAAGAATTTATTGTTACATTTCAAAAAAATTATTCTGTATTTAAAAAATCAAGAATCTGAAAAGTACTTTTCTGTCTTTTTTTATAGATCATGAGCTTATCGAGTCGGAGGATCACGTCGAAGTTAATGGTGTCGTGTTCAATAAACCTTTTGTTGAGAAACCGGTTTCAGCAGAAGACCACAACATTTATATCTATTACCCAACGTCAGCCGGTGGAGGCAGCCAAAGGCTCTTTCGAAAGGTATTAAATAACGATTTGGCGAAACGCAATTAGTTTAAAAGTTTTTTAATAAGATCGGCAGCCGGAGCAGTGTCTACTCTCCCGAGTCTCGGGTGAGAAAAACTGGAAGTTATATATACGAAGATTTCATGCCAACCGATGGGACTGATGTAAAGGTGAGCGCGAGGAACTTTGAAAGCAAATAATAAAAAAAATGCGAATGTTACAATAGTTGCCAATGATGTGTAAATGAAAATAATAATTTCACGACGTAAACTGCATGGCAATGCGTCTGTTGTTCAAGATCAATGTTACCAGATCGAGCGGTTGACAGCTGTGTTTTCTTTCTATTTCTCTCTGTCTCTTCAAGAGCAGCATTATTTGAAAAGCGCAATCTTCCCTATATGCCGCTATAAAAACTAACTTTAGATTTTATAATGTATAGTTGTATTATAATGTTGAGTGATTAGGGTGATTACCTACAATAATGGTTTACGTGACTTTATTTTTTGTTGTATTTGTGTATGTAGAAAGGTAATAATTCAAAACAAATTGTAATTATTGGTTGAGGTGTAGATAATATGTATGTTGAAGGTGTATACTGTGGGCCCCGATTATGCACATGCAGAAGCGAGAAAGTCTCCTGCCTTGGATGGAAAGGTAGAAAGGGATAGAGAAGGTAAAGAAATACGATATCCGGTTATTTTGAGTAACGTAGAGAAGCTTATATCAAGAAAAGTTTGTTTAGCGTTTAAACAAGCTGTTTGTGGATTCGATTTGCTTAGGTATATTATTTGCAATTTAATAGTGATACGGATAAGTTTATCAATTGATGTATTTATAGGGCCAACGGTAAATCATTCGTGTGTGACGTTAACGGTTTCAGTTTCGTAAAGAATTCGAATAAATATTACGATGATTGCGCGAAAATTTTGGGTAATATGATCTTGAGAGAGTTGGCCCCGACATTACATATTCCATGGTCTGTACCATTTCAACTCGACGATCCTCCTATAGTTCCTACCACGTTCGGCAAAATGATGGAGCTAAGATGTGTGGTTGCAGTTATTCGACATGGAGATCGGACACCCAAACAAAAAATGAAGGTTGAAGTCCGACATCCGAAGTAAGCAAGTAGCTCTTTTCTTTTTTATAAGTGGCACTATTTTGAAATTTTTATAAATAAAATGAAATGCATCCAATTCTATTGTGTTTTGAGCTATGAAGTATAGATATAAAAAGTCGTATATGAACTACAAGAATCTCCCTAGCAGTTTTTTTTCTATATTAATAATTATTGTTATGTTGTATTAATTTTAATAAAATGTGTTTATGTAGCGTATGTAATCATTATAGAAATATTTGTTTAATTTAAACATAATTTAAATTAAAATTACATGAATTTATTTTAATGAGGTTTTCTTTTTTTTACAATTACAGGGAGATTTGGAATTATGCGATTCCAGCGACACCAGTATTTCTCACCACGACATGGAAGAAAATGGGAAGCAAGTTGTCGTGGGGGTGTGTGCAATGGCAAAAAAATCTCAGAGCAAACCCATGAAAGAGATTCTCACACGTCTACAGGAATTTGAGTATATAAAAGTCACGGTTTTTCCCGAAGACGTTATCTTAGAGGTGAATATTTTTTTAAAAAGTTATAATTATGGAAAGACATGACTAAAAACATTCAAAATTTCGCATAAAAACATTAAGAAACCCAAAACGCGTTTCAGCATTTAATGTGTCATCCTACACTAAAAGACTAAAGAAAGAAAGTGTTTTCATGTGGAATTTTAGGATATACTATTTTATTTACTAATACTTGCTTTATCGCTCAATATTCTTAAATATATTCATCATTTCTTCTGTTACTTAAGCGAACAAGAAATGCAAATTTATTATAAGTTTTTACTTTGTAAAATAAAATACCAAATACTTGTTGGTAACAGTATTCANATATTTTTTTATTCATATCAATGTTGTCTAAAAGCAAGAAATAATAATTTATGCTTTCTTGGAATTAAACTAAATAAAAGTTATTTATAGATTTTTCGAAATTTTCGAGAAGTATGATGGATATAAACAGGGTCACGTAAAGTTAAAAAGACCTAAGCAATTGCAAGAAATCTTAGACATAGCTCGATCTCTACTTGCGGAAATACAACAGCACGAAGCTGATCCAGAAATCGAAGAAAAACAGGGAAAACTGGAACAACTCAAAAGTGTTTTGGAAATGTAAGCTGAATGGTAATGTTGCAACTAATACTTGAAATATTACTCGTTTTTATAGGTACGGACATTTTTCGGGAATAAATCGCAAAGTTCAGATGAAATATCAGCCAAAAGGTCGACCTAGAGGATCTAGTTCGGAAGATGGTAAAAAGAACATTAGTACGAACCTTTTTTTAATTATTATTCCATTTTATTCTAGTTAAAAAGGTGATGTTTAGACAGTAACCAAAGTATCGTTGTTTAGGCAAGGAGGTTCGCCTTTCTTTTTTGTTTCTATTTTATTTGCATGTTCGGTTTTTTAATTTCGTTCTTTTGTCCTTGTTTTGTTATAATTACCTTTAATTTTTTTGTAATATGATTGATAATCTATGGAAAGAACTCTATGTCGTTCTGTAAAAAAAGAATAAAACGAAAAATGAAAGGAATTGTTTCAATAGTTCTTTTTTAGTAGATGCTCCATCAGAACCGTCGCTAGTATTAATATTGAAATGGGGAGGGGAACTTACTCCAGCTGGGCGTATTCAAGCCGAAGAATTGGGACGGATTTTTCGTTGCATGTACCCAGGGGGACAAGGTAGACACTTGGCGGGTTCGTACATTGCTTTTTGTGTTTTTTTTTTAGTTAAGTTCCAGATTATATTCTGTTGCTCTGTGGCCGCAGTTTTATTTGGTTTTTCAAGAACATATTTCAACATCTACACTGATTTTGAAAACAAAAATACTATCATTTAAAAATATAAATGAAACAGCATAGCTTAATAATTTCTAAAACTCAATATCATATGCCCACTTTCATCTTTGAACATTAACATTTCTGGAAATCATATTTACCTACTGATATTTTAATCGTCACATGTCACCGTTTTACGAAGTTACTTATTTTAGTGCACTCTCATTTAGGTAGTCTTTTGGACTTGATACAGTAAGTAATATTTTTGACCCAATTTTTTATGTCGTCTTTGTCAGTAGTTGCTCCGTGTTTATTATTTGATATATTTTATTAAAACAGACAGACAGAGTAATTGGATTGCTGTGTTTACAGGTGAATATGCAGGTGCACAGGGATTAGGACTTTTACGATTACATTCGACGTTTCGTCACGATTTGAAGATATACGCATCAGATGAGGGGCGAGTTCAAATGACAGCGGCAGCATTTGCTAAAGGTCTATTAGCCCTCGAAGGTGAACTTACCCCAATTCTTGTACAAATGGTCAAAAGTGCAAACACAAACGGATTACTAGATAATGACTGTGACAGCAGCAAATATCAAAACATGTGTGTTTTAAACCAAAATTTAATCAAAATTAAAGTGTTATAAAAATGAAATGTTATTTGTAGGTGCAAATCTCGTTTACACGAACTTATGCAGTTAGATAGGGAGTTTTCGCCGGAAGAAAAGGAAAAAATTAATCCATGCCAATCGATCAGCATTAACACCGCTTTAGATTATGTCAAAAATCCCGTTAAATGTTGCCGACAGGTCCATGAACTTATCAAAACTCTTTTAGATGTAGTGCGAATTAAAAGGGACGATCCAAAAACAAAAGGTATTTTCATTTCTACATGAAAAATCTCTCTTGAAGGTACAAAGCTTTCTTTTCAGATACAATTCTTTATCATGGAGAAACTTGGGAACTAATGGGTCGAAGGTGGGGAAAGATCGAAAAAGATTTCTGTACTAAAAGTAAACGTTTCGACATCAGCAAAATACCAGACATCTACGACTGTATCAAATACGATTTGCAACATAATCAGCACACTTTACAGTTTGAACAGGCTGAAGAACTTTATTTGTATGCAAAGTATCTGGCTGACATCGTTATACCACAAGTATAATAAATCATCGCATTATTTAAATTTTAATACATAATACCCTTTTTGTCATGTTAGCGCGGAAAGCTCGTTTTACATGCTATGAAATAGGGAAGAAATGGCCTCTTTTCAGTCGTGCTTTAGTCGGGAGGAAATGAAATTAGTCTTTTGAGCGCATGCGCTCAAGTTTATGGGCATGCGCAGAAATCAGTTGTTCAATGACAATGTCTTTCTAACCTCTAAATCATTTAATCTTATTTCGCCAACTATCCATTTAATGACGAGCTTTTCGCACAAACATGACAAAAAATAGTATACGTATCTCTGTCTGAAAAGTACATACTTCAGACTACGTGTTTGCAACTCACACGTAGTCTGAAATATCCACTTTTCAGACCTCGATACGTAATGTACTATTTAATTTATGTTATAGGAATATGGTCTAACAGTACAAGAGAAACTGACCATCGGCCAGGGAATTTGTACCCCCTTGTTAAAAAAGATTAAGGCAGATCTTCAAAGAAATATTGAAGAATCTGAAGAGACGGTCAATAGATTAAACCCACGTTATTCACACGGTGTTTCGAGTCCTGGAAGACACGTCCGTACCCGACTTTATTTCACCAGCGAAAGTCACGTCCATTCTCTGATAACGTGCTTGAGATATGGCGGTTTACTTGATGTAAGTATTGTTAAAAGTTGGTGCTCTAAAACTACATTTATTCTGTGGATAAATCCCTTTGATAATATTTATTTTCAAACCGAATAAAAGGTGAAAAAAGACGAGCAATGGAGGAGAGCAATGGAATATATTTCGATGGTTTCCGAATTAAATTACATGTCGCAGGTCGTGATAATGCTTTATGAAGATCCTACGAAGGACCCCTGCAGCGAAGAACGTTTCCATGTCGAATTACATTTTAGTCCGGGCGTTAATTGCTGCGTGCAAAAGAATTTACCACCAGGACCAGGATTTCGTCCGCATTCCCGAAATGACTCTTCAGCAACCAGCAAAAACGTAAGCGATAAAAAGTCGATAAATATTTTAATTTTAAATTCAAATAGTTACATTAATTTCAATTGAAATTAATAATTAGCCAAACAACTTTATTTTATTGTTAAAGATGGATTGAAATTTAAAAACTCGATAGTATTTTTATTATCTGTTTTGTTGCTTTTGATTCGTTTTGTTAACAAAGCTTTGATGTTTGACAGAATTCAACAACATCTGCTACGGAAAATCCCGAAGAAAGTAAATGTTCATCTAGAATTGAAGAAGAGACTGTAGAAGACACTTCGTCAAATAAAAATACAGACAGGGGTTTAGATTTTTCACCCCCGGATTCACCAGATTACGAATACTCCCCCAAAAGTTTTAAAACAAGTAATCCTATTCCAATAGGGTAAGTAGAAAAAAATTACAAGCAAAGAGATATATGATAATAAATTGATATAACTTTAAGTTTAATATAAAGTCCAGCTTATTTAATAATACAGTTACAAATAAGCAGAATAAATGAGTATAGATATTTGATAACTTCAGAGATTTTTATTTAGGTCAGCCCATACCGTAAGCGGTCATGAAGCAATGCATTTGGCAAAACAATTAAATGAAGAACTGGCACAACAAAAGGAGAGTCGAAGTCTGGGATCGAACAGGGCTTCTAGCCCTGAACCACGTTCGAAAAGCTACGAAAACAAAAACACTCAAACAAAGGACAGAGGTATCGTTATATTTCGTGAGAAAAGCTTTTTATTCTTGCAATGTGCATGAATATTGAAATTCGGAAATCAAAAGATTTTTGGACAATTTTCCGAAATAGAGGAAAGCATAGACACGAATATTTCTTAGAAAAAAAAGCACATCTATGCGGCACCAATTGTTTGTTGATGTTTATTTAGATACCTTTTTAAATAACTGAACAGTTTTATAAAATTGTCTGGAATTAATGGGGATCTATGGTGCTTAATTAAAAACAAGCTTACATTTACTTAAAAACCAAAGCTTGTCAATTTTTGGAGCTTTAATATAATACAATACGTATGATAAAAAGTTTTTATCTCAATTTATAGGTTCTTAATTTTGATTTTATTTTCTATTCGAGGTAATTACAAGATTGGATTTTAAGATATTATAATTAATGCAAATATTAATTTTACAGCATTAATCATGTTTAAGTACTATTTTATGCCATGTTTTATTAGAAGTTATATCGCTATCTTATTATAGCGATCTTAGAAAATATTTGTATCAATTAGAAAAATTATTAATAAATTGGGACATTCATACACAACCTATTTTATAGATTGCATATATTATTATTTAAATAATCGAACTTATTGAGGAAACACCAATGTTAACAGATTTTGATTTGTCCTTAATTAACGATAATAAGACATGGCAAAAAACAAGTCGACAGTATTAAGTTTTGAAGTGCTCATCTGTCTAATAGTGCCGAGTCTGTGGTGTTTAGATTGTTTATTTGCACGGAAGCATTTCTGGCACAAATATACTTATCCCGAATAGGTATTTTGTGCCCGATTTTCTTCTAGTAAACTGCCTACGACCTCATGTTTCCAACTAATTACTTTTCACATTATGTGGATGGACTTTCAAAAGTTACCAGATTGAAACCAATTATATCGTTCCCTTTAACTGAAATTTGGTTCTAAATAATACTGTATTATTTTGAGCGATAAATATCAAACTGTTCGTTGTTTAGAAACTTTTGGAAGTTTCATCAATTCCACTGCGAATGTGCTTACTAATAATAAGTTTCACAATTCGAAAGAGTGCATAACGTTAACCGCATGAAACTTTTTTTCGATTAACTAATACAATAACACAATAATTACATTAGTTTTTCCTGTGAATTCTTAATCTATCTGGACCTTCAGTGGAATCTATTAGTCTAATTAATTTTATAAGCAAATATATATTTAAAGAAATATTTAAGTAATAAGTTGATTAGTCTTAGGTGAATATTTCTATGTTAGATTTACGAGAAAATTTTAATGGCATTCAAAAAGCGTTCTTTCAGATTCCACGAAGGTTGAATTAGAAATGAAACTATCTAAAAATCACATGGATAATCTATTATTAATTCTATTTTTCTTCTACTTTATCATCCTACCCTATCCATCTTTTTCATTTCCGTTCTTTGCATCCCGCGCTCTCATACACATGTTATTAACACAGAAAGTCCTAGCGACGATACTGATCTTTCTGTTACACCTACCAACACTGTTTTCCATCCTGCTTTATCTTGCAGTCCAATTAATCTCGAAAAAGATATTAAAGCGGTTCAAAATTATGTTTTCAAACCTATAATAGGAGGTGTCCGCTCAGTTAATCAACAAACAGGTCTTAGTCCCATATCGGGATCGTTTGAGTATGATCAACAGAGTGAACACTCGTTAGAATCTCCATTGAGTTTTAAGGCCGAATATGACGATAGAAGACATTCATTGCCTGATAATAATGAAACTAAAATGCCTTTAACAGTTACGAATTTACAATTATTTACATCCGAATTAAGCCAAGTAAACATCGAAAAACAAAATAATAACGTTTCAAACTTCCTAAAACAAAGCACTGTTGATACGCATACTGACGATACTTCGTTAGAAGTTAATTGGGAGTCGGACGATACGTTCTCTAAAGACCACAGAGAAGATCAGCGGATCAAGTCGTTTTCGAAACCAAAGAAAGATAAACAAACCATTCGGTCGTTTTCCGATCCGAACATTTTAGATATAGATGACGCAAAACCGAAGAAAGAAATTTGTCTTTTAGAAAAACTAAACGAAACGTTGTTTAGAGATTCGGAAAATGTCCCATCCGACTTTGAACAGTTAAAGGGTTCGAATAAAACTGACGATGCAAAAAATGTTCCGTTTCAATTTGGTAGCTTGCCATCTACTTCCGCTTCTACTAACACCATCCATCAACCTGCGCCTGTTACCTGCACCCATTGCTGCTTTTGTAACATTAATCGCAATCCTCCCAATCTCCTTTCGTTCTTCACGTCACCTCCCAAGGTTCTAACGACTTCTCGCTCATTCTCGCACCCGGTCCCTTTTGTAACGGTCCCTACTACCGATTTAGAGGCCAGCTGCAGTGTCCGACGCCATCGTCACAGCATTGCTGGACAGATGAGCTACTTCAAGATGTTAGGATTTAGTTGTGGCGGCACCTTTAAAAAATTAACTGGAGGTAGTGCCAATTCCCTGTTTTCCACGGCTGTTATTTCTGGCAGTTCGAGCGCGCCCAATCTTAGAGATATGATTCCTAGTACCGCAAGTGCTTCCGGTAAGTTATTCTTCGCTTCAAAAATCTCGTTGTTTTAAAACGGTTTTCACGATCACAGTATGGATTTTTTCTCTTCCCATATAAGATTCTGATTGATACCAAGAACTGTGGCTGCCATTTGTGGTCGCGAAAGTCCGAGTTTTTATGTTTGAAGTGACAAATGTTGCTCCATACGTTCAATTTTTTTAGCTATAGAAGGCATTGGGGGAGTCCCTCCAATACGTCCTTTAGAAACGTTACACAACGCTTTAAGTTTACGACAAATTGATAGTTTCCTGGAAGAAATGACGGCGGTGCCCCTATTTAAAACGCCTTCGTCGACTCCGCCCAAGTACCCTTCTACTCCTATACCGACGCCGACCAGTCTGGTACAATCGACGTCAGCACCGGGTTGTAGTGGCGTCTCACAACAACCCCTTCCGTTAAAGCTTCAGTCGCCTAATAATAGTAAGTACCTGTCTAAATCTTCGACCACGTTATTGTGTAGTGGTGCGATGATGAAGTCGAATGAAATGGTGGTGAAGATTCGCAGTTACGAAAATGCACCCCGTTTTAATAATCCTCTGTTCGAAAATAAACATTTGTCCAAGTTGTTAAATAAAACAACAGGTGCTCTGAGAAGAGCCGCTTCAAATAATTCTCTTGTACAAGATCAAATTTCTAATGAAAATAAATATGAAATTGGCAGCTTGCTCGAAGACATGGAAGAAGTTGAGACAGGCAGCGTTCAGTGTTTGTTTTACAATAACAGTGATTCAAAAAAGTCATTATGAAATATTATTTAAATTGTGTACGTACAATAAATTACAACTACAGTTTCTATTTATTTATTTTTATTTTTAAATGGAAAGTGAATTGGTTAATTTCAACAGGTATAGGTTGGAGTGGTCCCCCTAGTTTGATTTCGAGCAACAGCGGTCCGTCATCTCCTGCTGTTTCTGAGCAATATCCAACATCGAAAGAGAGTAGTGAAATGTCGTCTAGTATTATCAGCACCGACGGGTAGTTACAATAGTACCTTTTTACCAACGCTCACACAATGATTTGTATAATAAACAATTATTTTATTTATTTAAACATTCTATTTGTTATTATTGCTTAACACCCCCCTTCCTTTTCGTCGTATGTGCATTTCCTTCTTCATTATTCATTTTTTTACCAAAAATGTTACGTTCTGTTTCTGTGTATGGTTTGTTTAATGTATGTCGTTTGCCATTTCCGGTGTTGTTTCGTTCTTGTTATCATTGTGTACTTCTAGTGGAAGGGTAGGCGATATTGGTTAAATATTCTCTCTTCTTATGCAGGGTTTTTTCGGATAATATGACAGAAATATATCCTAGTTTTTCCGAATTGGATCAAAATTTAGGTAAATTACTTCACAGAGACGATAGAAGCTCCGTGGAACTTAGCGAAATATTTCAGCAATTTCAACAGATACATTCACCTAAAGATAAAGGTAATTATATTTATATATTTTTATACATTTTAAACATCTCTGTACTGTATCAGCATCACATACCTAATAAGTACAATTGTAGTGATTGAGTTGAGTTTAATGAGTTGTAAGTATGCTAAGAAACGATTTTTCATTCATATGATCGTAACATACAAGATTGGTGTTTGTGGTTTTCAAAATTATATTCTATTACATTTTTAGATGGCAGCGGAGAACTCACTCCAATTTCAGGAGGGTCTGATATTGAGTTCAACACTAACGATGCAACGGCGGGTTCTACTGCAGATATCGATTTAACTGTAACCGAAGACATTGTAGACGATTGTTCATCAAACAAGAAAGAGAGTAGTTATCTAATTGAGAAAGAAACGCCATTCCAGCTAGATATGAATTATAGTTCAGCTGCTAACGCATCTACTACTTTAGGAAATATTTTGACAACAGACGATGTTCTGTATGATAAAAATACGATTTCACATCTAGACCAGCTCCAAACTGACGACACAAATCTTGGAAGTGAATTACATCACATAACGCACACTAGTTCTTGTAATGACGGTATTTCTTTAAATTATTCTATAAAGATAAAACATACGAATCCCTTGCGAATTTCGAGGACTTCTAAAAGTTTTCACGGGAAAACAACTGCTAAAGAAGAAAACGACAGCAATGAACAACTTCGAAGAGCCAGTGAAGAATGTTTGAGTGGCGAAGATAAAGAAATGGCAACTGTGATAGATAAGGCTCCAAAAAAGACAAGTCGAAGGCATAGTGATACTGGTAAAGTTAAAATTATGAATCAGAAGGGTTGCGTAAGGTCGTCAACGACCGAAAATTTGCCAATTAAACCTCGATTCACAATGACACTTGTTGATGAAGCAGACCATGCTGCCACGATGGGTTCCCCTTCGACAAACAATTAACTGTTGATTTTAATTAAACAAGAAAGCATATCTAATTGAATATTCATAATAGTTAATGTTGTTGTATTAAAAATAAATCGTTCTTTAATTTAGTAGTTAGTACCATTTTTTCACCGCTCTAGGATTCTTAATATTATTTATTTAAAGTAGTAAAATTAATATATAACATTAAGTTATAAAACAGAAGAGAACTAACTTTAGACGGAATTGCAAATTAAACACAATATAACAAGTATACATGTATATATTTTGCGTACAATTAATAATCATACAAATAACACACACCAAACATTCAGACTATCTAGAAAACTTTTCAGTTTCTGATAACTAGTATTTTTGTACTTTAAAGCCTTGTGGCTTTCCTGTAGTCGTAATTTGATGACGAACCCTAACAAGACTTTCCCAGCAACCTTTTTATTATTTTATTTTTCAGTGCAAACAATCAGTTAAGTATATATTTAAATGAGCACAGTACTATTAGTCAGACTTCAAGTTTCTTTTACACTCAAACGTGCAAGTTCACAGTTCAAACTCTCCATAAAGAGAAATCCATCTTTTAACTGTTTGACGGTTCTTTAAAACCATATAAAAAATAAAAACAAAGGACAAAAATAACTGTGAACTTCTTACAAAACTGGTTTACTTACAAAATACTTTCACTTGCAGTCTAAACAAAGTACAGAAGTACATTTAGAAGACTGGAAAACATTTCCAAAAATAAACAATTATTGTACAATTAATGTTTCATAAAGAAGCCGTGGAAGCGGTACATATTTTAAATCAATCGAAGCATTTAACACAAAAGATCAAGTTTTATTTTACATTGTTTTATTTTGCTTTGTTTTATTTTTCAATAAAACGAACAAAATTGTTATACAGAGTGCCTCAAAAAATTATTAAGCAATCAGTCCTTTAGTTTTTTATCGAGATACTCGAGAGTAAAAAATATATATAATTGAGATACCCTATTGATTTTACGACAAAATGCTTATTATTGATACAGTGAAATTGTACAATTTCTTCTTTTATTATACTTCCCTTGAGTTTTGGAAATGTTAAACCCGTTTCATAAGTTGTTTTGCCAAAATGTTTAACGCCATTGATCCCATTGCCCATGAAGACTTTTCATTATTTTTTTAACATGTCTTGCAACACGGACAGGTGTGCACGCACGTCATCGTCAAAGCGAAAGAAGCACGAGAGTTAGGTTTTTGGCAAAACACATTTACAGTAACGACATAAAATTGCTATGCAATAAAAGCGAGATCATGAAAAAAGAAAAAAAAACTAAGTGATTAGTTATTGCCTGTTAATGCTGTACGGCAGTTACGAGGCCAAGTGTAAAACACGAATCTGTGATGATCGACTTCTACAACTACCAGCTACTATACATACAAGGCCTAACAGTGCAAATGATAAACTTTAAAGATATAGATTTACAATTGTCTTAATTAATTACTTACGAACTAGCAATCTATCCTCTTTTTTTAACATGAATAAATTTTTATAACATAACAAAGAAAAGAATTATTATACAAAACAAAGTAACTGTTTACATGATTTTCTTGACTTCATGTAACAGTCTGGAATCAATTAAAAAAAAAAAAAACTACCGATCAAGAAACAAAAGCAGGTGCAGAATGGAATTAATTAAAAGGAGGGATAAAAAGAACTGTTTGTAATGGTGAATGTTGTGGTAGGTAAAAATGGAACCTCAGTATATAAAAGAAAAATGTAGAAAAGTTCATTCTTATATATTCTTTTAATAACAAATACCGCAATATATCGATCAACGAACAGATAGTAAAATTTTGATTTATTTATCTACATACAAATACAAACAAAACGAATTTGTCTCTACATTTTTCTTCCATTATAAAATAACTGGGTTCAGTGATACTATCAAATTCAATATTTGTTTTTTCTGCCGACTTTTTTGAGATTTGTGACCTGTATAAATTTCAGTGTTCAGTACGAAAAAAAAAAAAATAAAATGAAATGTGTAAAACGTTTCAAGTTTCATATCTGTCTAGTTTTCGTGATATCACAGACATATATAGAAATAACTTACTTTCTTACCTAAATTTACTTGGATAGAGCATATAAAAAGCATACATAAAAAAATATATTCAATTGTGTTTCATTTCACGTTACATTATATCCTTATAGTCTCAGCGAATCTTTACCAAATTGCGAAGCAAAATCTGTTCAAATACACCAATCAAAATAAATTCAAAACTAGTTATTTTTAAGGTCACTATTAAAGCTAACTGGCCCATAACAATGTTTTCAAAAAACGTTTCTAACAAAGAAAATATAAAATTGGAAGGTCAATTTCAAAAATTTAAAATTACCTTTACGAAGAAAGGTACAAATAAACAATTTTGTTTTTTTTTAGACTAGAAAAATTGTTTGTTTCCACAGTGAATCTGTGATAAAACAATAATAATAATACATAATTCACCAAGACATAAATTAAATTAGACGATTAATATTTTTCTGTCACCAACTACTGACTTGGATGCGGTAATACAATCGAAAATATTAAAAAAANTACATAACGCATTTAGGTACATATATTTAGTAATAATAACTATATAAATATATTCGAATTTTTTTTGGCCATGTCAGTAGCGATTAAACTAAACATTAATAACAAAATAACCGTGTAGACTTTTTTTTGGCAAGAATCAACTAGAAGTTTAATAATAAAATTTAATAATTAAAAGGTGACAGCAAAACAGAAATCGCATCGAGAAAAAAAATAGAAAATAAAATGAAGAATGTACGGAAAAAACTCCAATATTCTAATAGTAATTATTCAGTCACGTTTCTAAAATCGTAACTGTTGATAATAACACAGTTATCCCCTAAAATAGGATTTACATCATTCTTAGCACCAAAACTGTCTTCAGAAAGCTGCCCTTCGAAGTTAAATTCGGTTTTATTGTCGCTCAACAATATTCCGGCATCGGTCACGTTAAAACTGTAGATGTCTTGACTGTCAGGATTCGGTAAATAATCGGCATTCATTTCCTCTTCTAGTTTCTCTTTCACAGGTTGCCCATTTAGCAAGTAATCGTGTCCTGTACTGTACGTGAACGTTTCTGTTGTAGCCAGTGGAGTTGATGGATATGAACGATAATTTTTTGCGACATCATTTTTGGAATGGCAGTAAGGTAACGGGGTGCCGGGTACCGATCTAGAGGGGTTGTATTTTAATGTAGCTTCAATGTCGATGGGGGCGAGAGGCACCACAACTTTCAGGTTCGAATTTAAATCCGCCTCTCCCTGACCAGTGTCTTGTGCGAAGTCGAGGGCAAACCCGTCACGTCCGATATTTAAAGAGGCCAGATTGTTGTTGAGCGAGATATCCATATTCCCGAATTCGGCATGTTGCATTAACGTGTCGGCTTCCGATATTGGTACGACGTTTTCGTTTTCTAATTCGTTTAAGATCTTGTTCATGTTTATGTTATCTGCACCTCCCGAAAACGTATCAAAGTCATTGAACTCGTTTGGAATCGGGGTGTTGCTCACAGAGCTACTATCGACGCTAAATGGAAATTGAGTAATGCAGTTGTTTGGAGTCAGAGGAGAAGTCAGAGCATTCATTTCTGATTTTAGTGACATTTGATGGAGTGGAACCGACTGAGATCGGAAACCCACTTCTGGCGCGATTGTCGGATTGTTTCCGGTTAACAATTGGGTCACCTCAGCACACAGTGGTTCATTAAACTTCGTTATAAGTGAATTGTGAACGTTTACGCCGTCTGGTTGTGCGTAAGATACTCTGCGTTTAGAATTCAGTAGTTGTTGTAAAAGGTTTGATGTATTTTTCGATTTTACTTTCGGACTGGGCGGCGCGGACATGGCCATGTAGTTAGGAACGTTGGTCGATATGGTTAACTGCTTCTCCGAATCCATTTGAAAATCAACTTCCTGTTTTATTTTTAAAGGCAACTTTGACGCGTTTTGCTTTTTCTGAATAGGAGCGGCACAGACTCCCGAAACAAACGAGCTCACTGAACACTGATGCATGTTAGTTTTTGACCTGGGAACAGGCGTGTTTCTACGAAAAAAACAGAATCCAGTAAACCAACGTATATTCTTTACAATGCGTCTACTGTTCTAGCAACGAAAGCCTAAAAGCACAATAATCTTCCGGCATAGCCATCTTCAATAAAGCATCCATACCTGAATGCATGCTTACACAGAGAAAGCATTCCTTTTGTTTTAATTTGCTTTCTGTTTCACGTCATAAACACAAGCGCAGAGAAAACTTTTCTTTTCAATTTCGGTCGTTGGGAAATACATTCCAATGCAATCAAGAACCAAAAAAACCGCTGAATGTGAAGCAGATAAATGTATAGAAAATGAGAAAACATTTCGTAGCCTCAAACAGAATACAAGAACTAAAATGCAGATGCCTAAATTATCAGAAAAAGTGCAGATGATAAGCTTCAAAGTAGTAGGATGGAGATTGTGAATTAGAATGACTGAAAACTTCCCCATATTTATTGACGACGAAATAAAAATATGTTTGTGGTAATTTTAAAGCAATTTTTTACGAGCCCTCTATTTCTATTAATCCTTACAATTGAGGGAGAGAAAGGCTGAATTTAGGGCAGTATAAGCGTCAATAAGCACAAAAAACTTCTATGATAATACATCAACTCATTTCACTATTGATACAGTGAAATACCAGAAGAGTAAAATATTAAATGCTTACACAACTCCATAGCAGTAAAAGAGTAGACAGTAAAATAATAGAGAATTATTGATTTTATGCACTGTATTGTCGCTTACTTTTTCTTTGTAATGTTATGAATTAATTTGTAACTGTTCAGTAAATGTTTTGGATGAAATATCCAATTCGCTCTGCTATTTTCAAGCTTCCCCGCCAGTTGTACATAGCCGCAACTATTCAGCGGTATAATTCTTTGTTATATAATACTTGCATGCATAAAACATATATTATGTTACTTACCTAGGACTAACGAAGGGACTTGCAGTTGTGCTGGACGATTTCGATTGTCTACCACCACCGGGAGAGACTGGTCCGGGTGAGATTGGCATGAAACTGAAATTCTTTCGTCGCGTACTAGGACTGGGAGGCACGGTATCTTCGATGTGGGAAGAAGAAGTGGTGTCAATACTAACTCGTCTACGGGCACTTAGGTGCTGACCAGATGAAGACACCTGCAGAGAATTCTGAATTGGGATCGCTTGCGGAATAACGGGAGACAATACGTCGTTGTCCTGATCGTTTGCTGCTGGTGCTTTAGTAAATGCACTTTGATTAGAAGAATTCAAAAGTGAAACCAAGTTAATTCTAGCGTCAGTATCGTCTCTTTTACTGGCGTGATGACCGTTACTTTCTAATAGTTGTCTCAATTGTGATAGTTTGGTGGACTGTTCTTTTTCCAAGTGTTCGTTTTCGAAATACTTCATAAGTTCTTCTTCGTGCTCCTGACTGTTGTTGGTTCCTAAATAATCGTCCAACGCGTCTTTATCGACTTGACTGATGCTTATCAAACGTTCTCGTGTGATAGGGAAATCAACTGTACACAGTTGATCGATTTTCTCTTCGGTTTTCACTTCGACCGGTTTCTCGACCGTTTTTAGCCTCCTGCCGCCCACTTTACGTGCCGTGCATTGACTATTGTTAATATTATCTTGAGATCGATGGTCCACAGTGCCGAAAGTGGCATGCGGGTTGTACGATGCAATATCACATGGTTCTGATTTAGGCTGAATCATTTTGTACTTTGCATTTTTCGCTCTCTTGGGAGATACTACTGGCGAAACTTTATTTACACTCGAATTTATCCGAGGTATAGGTACCTAAATAAATTTTACTAATTACTTTAGTTTGTTAAGATATTTATACATATATGAAACGGAAGCTAACATTGTTTGTGCGTATAGTATGGTATAATGAATTCTTACGCCAAAGTTTGGTTGTTCAAACAATGTTTGTCTCTTATTATCTCCGAAAATTATGTGCCAATTGTACGTTTTTCAAATTAATTTATTTATTTAACTACAGCATAAACTGATTAATTAATTTAATCATAAAGATTGAAATTTAAATTGATAAACAATTAACAGGTGTATTGAATAATGTATTATTATTAAAAGACAATTCTCACCTTTCCTGTATGGTTATCTTTAAGTCCAAAATTAGATACGTTTGCGGTGTTCTCACTATTCAATGCCTTTTCAACTTTATCACCCGAAAGATCACATAAGGTATCGGTCGTCCCCATTTCGACGACAGACTTCTGCAAACTGCGAAAGTCAGGTAACGCTAGTGATTTATCACAGACTGGTCCGAGGCCCTCAGGTGAAGTTTGATTGGCGTCATTTGTAGCTGTTGACACGGTGCCGCTGTTGGGAGATGTATTCGGACCACCGCTTCCGGTACATGTCACCTGTTGATTTTGTTGCACCTTGCACTTTTTACTGCGACTCTTCGACTCCGACTATTAACAAAATAATTAATCAATTTTGAAGTGTGAAGATTTTCATTCATACACGTAACGTTTTTTTTTTCATTTTAATGTTAAAATGAATCTTCAATAAGTAGACACTAGAATTAATTAAAAAGTAAAAACTATAAAATAGTTGTTGTTATTGATGTGTAACGGTTTCAGATATTTTACTGAGAATATTTATTAAGGCTATTTTAATAGTTCTCTGCAAGTA